AACGGACTGGCACCAAATTCCTGGAGACTTCCTGCTGTGTCAGGCATTAACCCTTTAGTTGCTAAATGGAGATTAATAGGTCCCCACAGTCCTGAATAAAGGGCTGAGGTGCCCAGGGCAAGGAGTAAGTGGTGGGGAAACTAAGAAAGCTGGGAACAGTGATTATTTACCAAATAATCTGGAAATATTTAAGAAAATCCTTATGTCCATACAATTATGCATCTGAGGAATATCAGTCCTATTTTTTTTTCCCAAAACATAACTTTATATTTTTTAAATTTTTTATTGTTATGTTAATCCCCATACATTACATCATTAGTTTTAGATGTAGTGTTCCATGATTCATTGTTTGTGCATAACACCCAGTGCTCCATGCAGAACGTGCCCTCCTCAATACCCATCACCAGGCTAACCCATCCTCCCACCCCCCTCCCCTCTAGAACCCTCAGTTTGTTTTTCAGAGTCCATCGTCTCTCATGGTTCGTCTACCCCTCCGATTTCCCCCCCTTCATTCTTCCCCTCCTGCTACCTTCTTTTTTTTTTTCTTAACATATATTGCATTATTTGTTTCAGAGGTACAGATCTGAGATTCAACAGTCTTGCACAATTCACAGCGCTTACCAGAGCACACACCCTCCCCAGTGTCTATCACCCAGTCACCCCATCCCTCCCACCCCACCCCCCACTCCAGCAACCCTCAGTTTGTTTCCTGAGATTAAGAATTCCTCATATCAGTGAGATCATATGATACATGTCTTTCGCTGTTTGTATCAGTCCTATTTTTTTATCACCTCTATTTAGTAGGTAAATTATAGCATCAGATGCTTATACTCAAAAACAGGAAAGTCTGAAAATTAATGAGCAGAAGTTAAAAAAAAAACCAAAAGAAAGTGAAAGAAATAGAATAATGGTAAGAAAAACAGTTAAATAGAAAACAAAGATATAACAGAGATGTAAAAAGCCAAAAGTTGATTATTTTTAAAAACTTATAAAAGTGACAACTTCTGGCAAGACTGATCAAGAGGAAAACGAGAAGATACCAATAAACAATATTAGAACAAAAGAGAGGACATAACTGCAAATGCAACATTTAAAAATCTGAATATAAGAACTTCAAGCAAATACATTTAAAAAGTGATCTGAGATAGAAAAATTCCTAGAAAACCATAACTTAATATTAACAAGTAGAAATAGCAAACTGGAATGATTCTATAACTATTTAAAAGATTGTTATCAGTTAAAAATTTTCTTACAAAGAAGATAGTAGGCTCAGATGTTTTTATTTGGAAGTTGTGCCACCTTGTATAACCTCTGTCAGAAAACAGAATGAAAGGAAATCATTCCCACTTCATTTTATGCCACTAAAATCAAATAGAGAAACACGAGAACCATGGTAAAATTAGGAACCAAGCTCATTCATGAACAAAATACCAAATTCCTAAATAAAATATTAATGAACTAAATCCAGCAGTTTTTATTTATCCTAGGACTGCGAGATTAGTTCAACACAAGAAACATCTCCAATGTAATTCACATTAACAAATTAAAATAGAAAATTAACATGTCATCTCAAGAAATAGAGAAAATACATTTATAAATTTCAAAGTTTACTCATTTAAAAAATCCTACTGGCAAACTAAGAATAAACTGGAACTTTCTTTTTTTTTTTTTTTAGAGGGATTTTATTTATTATTTGACAGAGAGAGAGACAGATTGAGAAAGAGCAGGGGGAGAGGCAGGCAGAGGGAGAGGGAGAAGCAGACTCCCTGCCGAGCAGGGAGCCCCGATGTGGGACTCAATCCCAGGACCCTGAGATCCTGACTGGAGCCGAAGGCAGACGCTTAACCAACTGAGCCACCCAGGCACCTAGAACTTCTTTAACCTATTAAGTGAAATCTACAAAAAACTACTGCAAATTTACACAATGGTGAAACTTTAAGAACATTCCCTTTAAAATTAGGATCAACATAACAATGCACACTATTAACATTTCTATTCAACAATGTACTTAAAATGGTGTGTTTTTGTTGGAGATGAGTGGTCCCAGGAGTGCAGTAATATAAGAAAAAGAGATACAAAAATATAAAGATGGGAGGTGAAAAAAGAGAATTGTCATTTACATATAAATTATCAAAATTAATAAGAAAGTTTATCAGGTTTTCTAGTTACAAATGCAATATACAAAAACTACAATTATATTCATATACATTACCAATAAACTGCTATAAAATGTAATTTTCTAAAAAGGTATTGTTTACAATAGCAACAATAAAGGAATTTCTTATAATGATGTGCAAGCCCCTTCAAATTATAAAAGTTCGCTTGAATAACATGAAAAGGTTTTAAATAGATGGAGAGACATACTGTGTTTACAGAAAACTCAATGTCACAGAGATTGATCTTAATTTGATCTTAAATTGATCTACAGATTGAATGTAATTCCAATCAAAATCCCAGAATTCTGTGTGTATGTGTGTGTATGTGTGTAACTTGAAAAGCTAATTCCAAAATTTATGCAGACAAAAAATTTTACTGCAGTATTGTTCATAACCAAAAACTAGAAACTACCTAAATGTGCATCAACAGTTAGATGGAAAGGGGTGCCTGGGTGGCTCAGTCGGTTAAGCGGCTGCCTTCGGCTCAGGTCATGATCCCAGGGATCTGGGATGGAGTCCTGCATCATGCTCCCTGCTCAGTGGGGTGTCTGCTTCTCCCTCTGCCCCTCCCCCTACCCATGATCTCTCCCTCTCTCATGCACTTGCTCTCTCTCTCTCTCAAATAAATAAACAAAATCTTAAAAAAAAAAACAGATGGATAAACCATGAGGTATTCACAAAATGTAGTACTACACAGCAAGGAGAATAAACAATATAACTACATGCAACAATAATATAGATGGCACACAAAACATAACACTGAATGAGAAAACAAGTCCAGATGGACATACACAGCTTTTCAGGCACTTTACACATGTTAATGCATTTAATTCTCAGAACAACATCATTGATTGTGTTCATCTCCTCACCCACTGCCCTTTTTGGAACCAGGCAGGTCTAGAGAGGATGCTCCAAGCAAAGGATGATTAAGATCTTTCAGTGGTAAATAGACTCTCCAGCAAGAGAGATGAGGCAGACATTTTCCAGGGCAGGATTTGGCAAACACCAAGTTTATTGTGTCTGCGGTCTGACATAATTCAATCACTAATGAGCGACTGTCTTGTACACACAGAGCCCATGCTTGCCTATGGTGAGTAGTAGAGTGAGTGGAAGTAGAGCATTAAACATCTGCTGTGTGCCAGGTTCTGAGCTTGATGCTGAGGATATGATGGGCAGAAAGACCACGCACCCACCTTCTTGTTTAAATAATAATTAACATTTATGGAGCACTTACTATGAGCTGGACATTCTAAGCATTTTATATATTTTATTCTCTAATCTTCACAACACTATTATTCACTTCTTTTTACAGATGAAGAAATGGAAGCACAGGGAGGTAAAGAGACATGCCCAAAGTCACAGAGGCAGGAGGTGGCAGAGCTGGGATTCAAACCTAGGCAGTCTGGATCCAGACCTCTGAATCACTGAATCATCTCAACAACACAATGTGAGAAATAGTTATTAGTTCTGTTTTGCAGCTAAGGAAAGAGAGGCTCAGAACTAAAGTGAGCACATATTTGTTTTGCACCCTCTATGTGACAGAGACTATATTAGGTGATTTATGTATATTATTTCTGCAACCTGAAAGACAGAGTTCACGGAAATATAAAGGTCCTAACTCTGGAGGACCCAGGTATGCAGAGACTGGCTTGCCTGCTTGTCAACTAAATCCAACAGCCCCTTGGAAAGAAATAAAGTGGTTCACTGGATGGCGGTGGGATGTAATTCTCAGTCTCATCCAGGCTCCTAGATCTCTAGATGAGTGAGTGAAACTGCTGGTGGAGAGAAGGAAAGAGAACAGTAGGCTGTTTTTTTTCTGTCTCTCCCTCTTCTTCCTCCATCTACATCTTGCATACTATACACCATATTTAATATCCTACATCTTCCTGTATTCTCTAAGCAACTACCTCTCCTCCCAATAGCACTGAGCCTGGACCTCCTCTAGCGTTAGCATAGTGGGAGCTTGGTCAGGTGGACCTCAAAATGTCTGGGTCCCACAGTCCACAGCTGTCTTATCTCTGCCCACCTCATGGTTCCTCAGGCCATAATCCTTGGGCTGGAAGCACCTTGGTCTACAACCGTCCCCTGTTATCTGTGGGAAATGGTATACTTCAGTGTTTTAAAAAAAATATTTACAAGTTTTGTTTGCTTCTCCTTTGTCTCTGTTTTCTTAAATTTTCAAAATGAATATTACACAGCAGGCTCTTCCTGAGAGGCTGTTTTTTCTCTCAAATTCCCAGAGTAGCAAAAGTGTCCATGTGTGCCAAGAAGGCAATGCAGAAGACAGGACACCCAGACTTTCCCAACTCAGACAGGTATAGACTTATTAGAAGAGGCTTGAGAAAAGGGAGGAGCAAAACTGACCAATGGCATGGTACTGTTGTGTATCCAGCACCTGTTCCCTGAGAAATTATGCCAGGAACCATTACCTTATTTCACCCAAGCACTATCAGACAGGACCAATTTCCAGACACTTCATTGAGGTCACCAAAATGAAACATTCTAGGCTAGCACTGAACAGTTTCAAACTAGCAATGTCAAATTTCAAACAGGAAGCATTTCAAATAAGCTCTGGATAAGAAAGGAAAAAAAGTGCCTAGTCAAAAATCCCTCTAAGATGGTCTTTACCTAATCCTCATTCTTTCTCTGTCCTTCATCTCTCTCTTTCTCTTATTCTTTCTCTATCTTTTCTGACATTATCCTTTTGTTGTTCTACAGTTACTTCATTCAGCTGCTTATCTAGTCCAACTTTCAGGATGGGTTGGGGGTAGATGTGGGGGGGGGGCATGTCCTTTGCTCTTCTTCTACACCCACTTGAAGCCCATGAAAGCAAATCACACTTACAGCCCCTCCTCCACTGTAGCCGGCTGCTGCCACTGCTGTGTGGAATCCAGATCTTCTGCAACCTGTTTTGGGTGAGCTCTCCCATCTCTTGAGACATCTTAGGTGTCGCAGCTAATGACACCACTGTCCACAAGGTACTGGGCCTCACTTCCTGTCTTACTAGCTGTCTCTTCTGTTAATGTGGCCACAGCAGCAGGTGGACAGAGTTGGGACAGGCAGGTGCACTGGGCTTCTGAGCCCTCTGGCAGCCTGTCTCCAGCCCTCTCTCCTCTTTCCTAGTCCTTGCCTGACTTGCCTGCCTCTGTGCCTGTATATACCAGTGGGGGCTTGGGTGCAGAGAGAGGTTGGGCAGAGGTCAGCAGAGGCCTCTGAACTCCAAGAGCTGTGTACATAGGAGATAAGTTGGAGCCCAGCAAGGAAGGCAGCCAGCAAGACAGCCTAGGTCTGGCCAGTTACTTCCCTCCAATGAAGACAGGACTAGTAGAACATGCAAATAAAAGACCAAAGATCATGTGCTTATATCCTGTGTGGGGTGGAAGAGGTAAAGGTGATGGAGGCAGGTCTCAGCCGCTTTCACAGCTTTGAAATAAAAAAAAAAAAATGGGCCCAAGTATAATGTCAAGTTCTAACCCAGAAACAGAGATCCACATCAGAAATTCAAGGTTCTCAAGTACAAACAAAATCCCTACTGAAAAATGCACTTTTGAGCTAGCAATCAAAAACCAGAACTGGAAGTGGAAGGTTCATTGTCTCACTGTTTCCCCCCACCCAAAATGTTATTGTGACCGTTGTCTTCCCCTGAATTCTGCTGCCTTTCCTAGCACAGGGCCTCTCCCTCCTAAAATGTGCTGCTTGGGGTCACTCTTGGGAGAGATGGGCACCATCTGATCATCTTTATGTTCTCCCCAGCCAAGGCTAAATAAATTAGAGTAAACCTGACACCTTGGGAAGAGAAGTAAATGTAGCCATTTCTGTGGGGAGAGACAGTAAGCACTGCACACATGGCTGCCAGCTGCCATTAGGTGCCCTAGGAAGAAAGGCCTCATGATCTGACTACAGTTCTTCATACCAAGCTGAGGAGATGGAGGCTTAGGGTGAAGGCTGCAGCAGGCTGAGTGTGGGGAGCAGGGAGCAATGACCTCAAAGTAGGACAAGTCCATAGGACAGAGCCATCCCACCCAGATGTGTCTACTTTACCTTCCCCTGGGGGGAAGAGCTCATGTAATGACACAGCGTACCTGGAATATGTCCAAGTGTACTCTTACTTCATTCTTTTGCAACATTCCCACCCCCTGATGAACCTCCAATGATTGGCTACAAGGAATCTCAACTTTCTTCCATTGAACTAGGCTACACAGGAACAAGCTTTTGGGTATAGAAATCTCTAATCCCTTTCCTCCAATGTTCTTGGCTGCACTTTGCCTTTTAAGAAGTTCCCTAAAAGTTTATTCTCAGTATCCTAGTCTATACAAAGGTTAGATTCCCTCTAGTTGTGTATAAATCAATCCAAACCTTCAATACATTTTGGAGCCTGCCCATCTAAATGAATTTACTGAGGCAGTGAATCACAGTGGTTAACAGAAATGGGCTGGGGAGCCATACTACCTGAATGGAATCCCACCTCTTCCCCCATTATGAGATCCTGGGCAGAAAACTTAAATTCACAGTGCCTCAGTTTTTTCATCTGGTAAGAGTATCTACCCACTTAAAGTTGTTGAAAACTCAACGTGTTGATACACATAAAGCAACCTGGGAAATGTTCAAAATACACTAGTTAACACCTATTCCCTTTGCTGGGTATACAAGAAACAATAAGGGGAATTTATAACATATAACAAAGGGTTAATATTTATAATAAAGAGCTCCTGCCAATCAATTAGAAAGGTAAATTTACTTTTACTTTTTTGGTTTTGTGATACAGAAGGCCCTAGAAATCATTTCACCTGATCTTCTCTGGTAAAATGGAGGCCTAGAGAGGGGAAGTATTTTCCTAAGGCCCTATAGCAAACAAGTGCCCAAGTCAGAACACTGAGGACCTGGTTTTTCCCAGTCCAAGGCTTTTTTCTGTTAATTGATCAATTTAGCTTGACTTAAGAATGTGGTATTCCAAATTATCTCAGAACCTTTAGAGTTTTAGAACTAGACTTTGCAAGAGATACAACTCTCTTAATCCTAATAAGTCTCCTAATAAGTATTACTCTGCCAATGCTAATATTTTATTTTTCCTCAGCATTGGCTTTGCCAGCTACTGAGTTGTTTTTTTTTTTTCTGACACTGCAATATTGCATTTTGTATATTTTTGTGTTACTTTTTTAATTGAAGTATAATTAACATACAGTGTTATATTAGTTTCAGGTGTACAGTATAATAATTCAATAATTCTATGCATTTCTCAGTACTCATCTAGATAAGTGTACTTTTAATCCCCTCTATCTATTCTACCCCTCCCCTCATCAACCCCGCCCTGCAACCACCAGTTTGTTCTCGTGTTTAAGAGTGTGTTGTCTTTATTCTTCGTTGTTTGCTTCTTAAATTCCACAAATGAGTGAAATCACATATTTGTCTTTCTCTGACTTACTTCACTTATCATAATACTCTCTAGCTCCATCTATGTCATTGCAAATGGCAAGATCTCCTTCTCTTTATGCCTCTTATGCCTGAGTAGTATTCCATTATATGTGTAGGGGTGTGTGTATGTGTGTATAGTGTGTGTGTGTGTATCTATATCTCTATATATGTATCAGATCCATTCATCTATTGATAGACACCTGGGCTGCACCTTAGCTTTGTAAATAAGGCTGCAATAAACATAGGGGTGCATTTGAGTTAGTATTTTAATTTTCTTTGGGTAAATACTCAGTAGTGGAATTGCTGGATCATATGGTATTTCTATTTCTATTTTTAATTTTTTGAGGAACCTCCATACTGTTTTTCACAGAGGTCCCATCAATTTGCATTCCCACTAACAGTGTATGAAGGTTCCTTTTTTTTTCCCCCACATCCTTGCCAATACTAGTTATTTCTTGTGTTTTTTATTTTATCCATTCTGATAGATCTAAGGTAATATCTCACTTTGATTTGCAATGCTAATTATCTTAATAATAACCCTTTACATGTAAGTTTTCCATTGCCCACAAAGTAACAACATATTCCATATCCTAGTTGCTCCTTACAAACATTCTCACTAGTTTCTTAGGGTAACTAAGGTCTAGGGAGGGGAAGTAGCTTGTCCAAGGTAATTGAGCCAGTCACATGAACCCCCTTCTATGTTTATAGTTTTGTCCTCATGACCCTGCCAAGAGGCAGAGAGATAATTTTAGCAGCAGGAAATCTGAGATAGGAGGCTAGCAAGCTATTGGCAAGGTCTGAAAGGGTAAGCCTGGGGTCCAGGCTTGAAAACCCAAGTTAAAATTGCCTGGAACTGGAACTAGCTAGCTGGTTGTTTGTTGTTGTTATTGTTGTGTTGTTTTATTTTGCTTTTGTAGTTATGTGTGTGTTTATCTGGGTTTTTTTGTTTGTTTACCTCTGTTACCAACTTTGATCCTAGAAGCAGGAGAACTAGAACTAAACAAGCTTTATGGAAAGGTCTCAGAATGGCTGTTCTAAATCAAACCCCAACCTAATTCTCTAGCCATGTCTCTCTTTAGACCCCCATGCTTAAACTGCACTGGCTGACTCACTGAGTCCCCAAACATAACATATACTTTTTTACCTCTGGACCTTTGCTCTACCTGAAATGCCTTCTCTTTCCTTCCATTCTCAGTGAAATCTGACTCACTCTTCAAGAACTGGTTCAATGTTGCCTCCTCTGGGAAACTTTCCCTGTAACCTGGGACAGGCATTATCTTTAGTTTTCATATTGTCTATATGATTCCATTTATCTGAGCAAGTATCCACCAGTTTTTACTGGTGTACTTCCTTACTAGACTGTGAGTTCCTTGAGGATGGGGACTAGACCGCAATTATCTGAGATCAGTGTTTCCAGTGTCCAGCTCAGGTGCTGGCAAAGAGAAGACACTTGCTCAATGAGTATTTGTACAATCTATCTCTCTGCCCTAAATGAGATGAACATATAGACAAATAATTCCCCATTCAGAAAGTTAAATATTATAACTGAGATCTATGCAGGGAACTGGGTGGGCAAACTAACTAGGTCTGAAAGTAGAAGGTGGTATCTAGAAAGTTTCTCAACCTTGAATGGGGTAGAATAGAATAAACAAAAGAATGAAGTCCCCTACCCCGAAAAAGTCCAATTAACTGGTTGCAGAAAAAGAGTTCACTCAGTATCTGAGACTCACTCAAGACCAAGATCTGAACCACAAATTCTAAAATGCGGTTAACTCTAGGGAGAAAAAGCACACAGTGTGACTTCCTGAGGCCCACAGATCCTGACCATCTTCCCAAAGTGTGGGGTGCATAGAAGAATTCTATTAAAAGCATTATTAAGACCATACTCATGGGTTACAAAATCACAAATGGGGTATCTCTATTAGTAATTCTTGGGAGTGTATGGGTATAAATGCACTTGTGGGGGACAAGGGTGTACAGGGGAGATTGGCCACATGCTTATAGTTTATGTGCTGATACATGAGTATTAGGCCTTCTGTGGCAGCAGCCTAGGTACCACTTCCTTTATAGCCACTGCCCTGGCTCACTATCCCCCCACTATATTCAGCCCCATGCCTGGGGCCCAAGGCTCACTGCATCCTACCTAGGAGTGGCTCTCTATAGACCATAGTCACTCCAGGAGAAGAGCAGCTGGAGGTCTGTGGGTGGTATTACCCGCGGAGGCTACAGAAAAAAAACAGGATCACTAATCTCAGACAGAGCATGGAAGTCCTGAAACATCTCCAGAAATTTGGTTCCTGTTCTACTCCTCTTCATCTTGAGACAGTCCTCTGAAGGAAGTAGGCCAGGGACTTCAATTTCCATTTTAGTAAGGAGGTTATTGAAGCCCAGAGAAGGTGAAAATCTTGTTCAAAGTGCCACAGCAAACCAGACCCACTTTATACACCATCGGAGAGGTGCAAGATATAATCCCTACCATCCAGTTCACTCAAAACTGGAATAGATCAAGATAGACTTCTAAAGGTGCTAGGGAACTGCCCTTTTGGTCAGTGTCCCACAAAGACAGGTGGGGATGGTTGACAGATAGGTAGATAGATAATTAGATACAGATATCATCTTTCCCCCAACTCTCCCATACCCTTTAAGGCACACTTCAAGTAACCCCTATATAAAGAAAATTTTCCAGAGAGCCTAAAGAATGGATTTGGATTTGTGTACCCCTATCTATTTTTCCTTCTGTCTCACCTACCTGTTCTCCTAGAGGTTTTTTCTTCCATCACTAATTATCCGACCACACAGCTTTCTTGCATTTAGACCTTCAAAGCAGGTACAGGGATGGCGTCAAAGAGGGAGTCTGGAGGCGTTGGTTGGTTCCTTGAAAAGGCTGTGGAAATACCCTTGATAAGAGGGGCATGTGTGCACTCTTGAAATATCAGCTGTGTTAGTTGTCAAGGAAGTTCCTGAGCCATCCGGAACCTTTTCTCATCAGGCCAACCATGTGTTCACCTTGCCCCAAAGGTCAGAACTAATATTAACAAGCAACTGCAGAATGGGGAAATTAAAACCAGCAATGTAGACAGGCTAGATCTGGATTTCCTCGGGTCTGAGTTGCAGGTTGGTCTTCAGTGTAAATGGGCACGATCTCTTACTGGACAGTGATTTGGCAATATGAAGCAAGAGCAATAAAAATGTTAATTTCCTTTGTCCTAGTTATCCCACTCCTGGGACTCAATCCTGAGCCAATAACCACCAAAGCATGAAAAAGCTCAAAGCACCAACATTTTTACTTTAATTGCAGAGCTATTTATCCTGATGGCAACAACTGGAAGGTAATCTTTAAGTCCTTTAGGAGGAAAAGCAGCTCTTTGGGTCTTTTCTACAGACATTGAGGATGATGGTTTAATTCTGGGGGAAAATTATGCTGCAGTTTGGGGTGAGGAACCTAAGAATGCAAAGTCATGCTTTTCCTTGGACATTGGGCATGTCTATTATTCCTATTTTTGTGTTCTCAAAAACAAGTCACTAATCTTGCTCTTGCATTTGCCCTGTGTTTGTTTATTCAGTTAGGAAATCTTTATTGACTCCTAATATATACTGTGCCCTAGATTAGAGGATGGCGCTAAGAAGATACATCAGACATGGTCATTGCTCTCAAGTAGGTAGAGCAACTGGTAGTTGTGTGACAAAAACAGATATCCATGGTAGGTGTGCACTGAGATAAGTGATGTGACAGAAAGGACCAGGCGGTGCTGTGGGGGCCCAGAAGAAAAGACCTAACTGGGGAGGTGTGTGGGTGTTAGGAAAAACTTATTCAGGAAAGTATTCCTTGAGCTGATTAAGATAGGCTTTGAATCCTGGCTCTACCACTTCCGTGAGACTGGGGTGACTTCACTCATTCTGTCATACTTAGCCTTAATACCCCTTACAGGGTTGTCCAGAGAATGAAACAAATAATGCATATGGAAGAGCCATGGAGTACACTGGGAGACAGTGTTGCTCTGGAGCTTGGGTAGCCCACTTAAATTCCCTGGGCCTCGATTTTACTCATTTGAGAAATGGAGCCACGAAAAAGTATGTGTTGGGCCATGTCCTTAGGAATGTTATAAGGCCCAGGACAAATAATGGCTATAGGGTGGGCTTGAGACAGCTTCCTCTCTTCCCCTCCCTTTGCCCTATAAGGCCAGGGTACTTCTAAGTCTAATTCCACTAGAGCACTTCTTACTGCTCCCTCTAGCTGCGCGGTTCCCTTCGAGCCTCCCCTCTCCCACACAAGCCCAGTTACAGCAATTACTCCCAGGATGCCAGCGGCGCACTTGGAGGTAAGGTCAGTCGCACTGGGGGCGGGGCTTCGGTTGCCATGCGGTTTCGTTCAAGGTTCCGCTGCTTAAAAAGTCCCATCTGTAAGTTATTGGAAGCACCACGGCGGCTTGTGAGCAGCACGGAAAGGCAGACAGATTCTGGTTCTTGGGCTAGTGTGCGGCGGGAGGAGGGAGGAGGAGGAGCCTAACTGGAGGACTTCCTTTGCCGTTCATTCCTCCTAGGCGTCGGCACCACCCCATCAACTTCCGCTCCTCCCGCCAATGAGAACTGAGGGGATCGAAGCCCCGCCCCACCTTCGCCACACCTTGGTGGCGCGCAAGAGAACGCATGCGCCAATGCGCGCGGAAGGCGGGATCTGGCCAACCTGGGGGTGTCCAGCCGTCCTGTGTACCCTAGGTTGGGCGCGGATTGTGTGGTGTTGCAGTTCGCCGTCGAGATGTTGCGCGTGGTGAGCTGGAACATCAATGGGATCCGGAGCCCCCTGCAAGGGATGGTATACGAGGCGCCCAGCAACTGTGCAGCCATGGCCGTGGAGCGCATTTTGGACAAGCTGGATGCCGACATCGTCTGCCTTCAGGAGACCAAAGTGACCAGTCAGCGCTCAAAAATCCAGGATCCCTACCATACTTTATCTTTTCCACTAACTTTTGTCCCCTACTTAATTCTCATTTATTTTACCATTTTTCTATCCGTAGAGTCTTCCTCTTAGACCCAGTTCAGAATCCTGATCCTCTACCCCTCAACCCCTGTTTCTCACTCCAGTTTGATGTCTTAATTCCTACTTCATCTCCTGTCCTCAGCAGAACTTTAATTCCCTCACCCGTGCAACCTTCATCCTCGCACAGATCCTCTAATTCCCACTCATTCTCCTGCCCCAGCGCAGTACCCCAAATTTCCTCCTCACACACTATCCAGCTCCAACTCCCAAGTTAGATCCCCCAAATCCCCTTCCCTGTCCCCAGCTCACATCCTTTAATTCCCACCCCATCTTTGCCCCCAGCTCAGACTCCCTGATTTCTTCCTTTTTACCTCTCCATCTCAGATCCTCAGTTCTCCTGTCAGATCCCCTAGAGCTCTACCCCCATTTCTCCTTCCCAGCCTCAGAACCTCTTACCATTTCTATCTCATGTCCCACGCCAAGGTTAGATCCCCTAGTTCCCTCTCTCTCCCACCCTAGCTCAACACCCTCCATTCTTTCCCTCTCCCTTGCACCTCCCTTTAATACCCTCTAACAACTTTTTCCTCCATCCCCAGTTCAGATCCTCTAATTGCCTCCCTCTCCTACCTCATATTCCCACCTCAGATTCCTATTTCTCCCTCCCATATTCCATTTCCCACCTCCAGCTCCCTCCATTCACCTAATCACTAGCTTCCTCCCACCTAATTTCCCTCCTCCCATTCCATAGCCTACCCCTTCTTATTTTGATATCAATTCCCTCTCTAGTCCCCACCATTCTAGCTCCTCTTCTAATCATAGATACTTCATTTTTTCTCCCAACTCTGGCTCTGATGTGTGCGAGGAATTAGCCTACAACTTTAATTCCAAACCCTTGTGTGTCCTGGGTCCTACTTTTATCTCTGACACAGTCTTACATCTTTTTTTTTTTTTGCAGGGGATGTGCTGACAGAGCCCCTGGCTATCATTGAGGGCTATAACTCCTATTTCAGCTTCAGCCGTAACCGCAGTGGCTATTCTGGTAAATGGGGCTTTTTGGGGACTTTAAATTAGTGATGGGTGAAGCAGATCGGGAGTGACCAATATTTGATGAGAAGGTAATAAGAAACTCAGGCTTTTATTTAAAAATTTTTTTTTGAAATTACGAAGCTGCTTTTAATACTTTGGGGTGAGCCCCACAGGAATAAAAAACACTGGGAAGGGATAACCCCCCACTCCCAGGATGGCCCAGAGGAAGAGAGGCTACCTGAGGGGAAAGAAGCACAAAAGGGATCTGGAGACTCAGGGCAAAAGGAATGCCATTGGTGTTGGGACCTGTGAGCACTACAGGAGAAAATGTGAGCATGGTGGGACTGGCTCCAGGTACACAGGGGAGGCCAAGAGGGTTGGACACGAAGCCACAAAGCTACTTGGGTTCCTCCTTCTTCTCGTTTGCCTTTTTCTGCTTCTTCTGCATGACCTCTGAGTCCCTCTGCTTGCAGGTGTCAGCAGAAAGCCTGTCACCTTGGCACTTTCCCTTAACCTAGTAGCTCTGCTTTTTCATACTGGCGGTTGAACTAATGCTGGTTACCATGGGTCATGGCGAGGGCAGCAGCTGTGGCTTACCTCCATTGCATCCCCTCATTCTGTCCGATGTTGTGATGCCCCAGGCTTTTAGTCCACAGAGCTAAAGTCACATGAAGCTACGTGAAGGATAGTTTTTATGTGTAAAATTATCCTGTTTGACTTTGGAAGCACAGTCAGTCATGTGGTAGTTAATTGTATGAGCTCTGGAGTCAGACTACCAGAGTTTGAATCCTACCTCACTTCCTAGCTGTGTACCCTCTGGCAAGTTAGTCAACCTCTTTAGGCATCAGCTTTCTCAGCTGAGAAATGGAGATAATGCCTAACTCCTAGGGCTAATACAGGCATACCTTGTTTTGTATGTATATATATATGTTTATATATAAATATTATATGTAAATAAATATATAACAAATATATGAATTTACATATCTATATATAAATATGTTTTTATATATACATATATGTAAAGCACTTCACTTTATTATGTTTTGCAGATATTGCATATTTTATAAATTGAAGGTTTTATGGCAACCCTGTGTTGCAAAACTCTTGGCACCATTTTTCCAGCAACATTTGCTCATTTCATGTCTCTTTGTCACTTTTTAGTAATTTTACAATATTTCAAACTTTTTCATTCTTTTGTTATGGTGATCTGTGATCAGTGCTTGCAACTCGCTAAAAGCTCAGATGACAGCATTTTTTAGCAATAAAGTATTTTTTTAATTTTATTTTATTATGTTACGTTAGTCACCATACAGTACATCATTAGTTTTTTATGTAGTGATCCACGATTCATTGTTTTCGTATAACACCCAGTGCTCCATGCAGTACATGCCCTCCTTAATACCCTTCACCGGGCTAACCCATCCCCCCACCCCCTATCCTCTAAAACTCTGTTTGTTTCTCAGAGTCCATAGTCTCTCATGGTTCATCTCTCCCTCTGATTCCCCCCCTTCATTTTTCCATTCCTTCTCCTAATGTCCTCCATGATATTCCTTATGTTCCACAAATAAGTGAAACCGTATGATAATTGACTTTCTCTGCTTAACTTATTTCACTTAGCATAATCTCCTCCAGTCGCATCCCTGTTGATGTAAAACTTGGGTATTCATCCTTTCTGATGGATGAGTAATATTCCATTGTATATATGGACCACATCTTCTTTATCCATTCATCTGTTGAAGGGCATCTCGGGTCTTTCCACGGTTTGGTTATTGCGGACATTGCTGCTATGAACATTGGGGTGCATATGGCCCTTCTTTTCACTACATCTGTGTCTTTGGGGTAAATACCCAGGAGTGTAATTGCTGGGTCATAGGGTAGCTCTATTTTTAATTTTCTGAGGCACCTCTACACTGTTTTCCAAAGTGGCTGTACCAACTTGCATTCCCACCAA